TTTTATGACAGGGCATCAGAGGCGGACTCCAAGTAAAACTAATAATATAGCAATTTTATTGTAAAGAAAATTACATTTATTTAATAGTATTTTAAAACTTATATTCAATACTGAGTGATAACAATAAGATATTTAAACTACACTGTAAAAGTTAAAAATTAATGATTATTAAATATCTATGTTCTTATTCTAATACTTATATTATTTATATTCGAAACATAACAATACGAGATTTAAACTAAATTAATATTGATTATTATTCTGTGTTGTTATTCTAAGTTCAATTCTGTTTCACTGTCAGAGTCATCATTTAGATTAATCACAATGGGCTGTATATTAAAACTTTGCGTAGACAAATAAGAATGTTCTACTTTTACAATATGCTGTACTGAATTTTTCCAGCTCTCAATCGATATATTATTTATAACAGTTTTAATCAACTTTATGACAGTCGCACTCAGGGTAGGAGAGACATTTTCCGCTCTTACCTTTGCTTTTACTTGGTGCCACATATGTTCAATGGGGTTGAATACACAATGGTATGGAGGAAGACGTAACACAGTGTGTCCCATCTGTTCTGCTAAGTTGTCACATACATATTGCTTTTTAATAGCAAAAGTATTTAACACTTCCAGTAGTTGCTCTTTCTTGTAATTAAATTCAAAATAAATATCATTTTCTATCAAATACTCCTGAATTTCACTTTTAGTACTTGCTCTGTTTGGAGCTTTTTGAAGCTGACAACTGTGATAGCTTGCGTTATCCATTACAATGACACTATTGTTAGGGATATTTTTTAAAAGATAATTTTGAAACCAGTTTTCAAAAAGTTCTCCACTTGTATCTTGATGGTAGTCCAAGCTAGAGTCTTTGATATTCTTCACAGATAACAGCAAGCAGTTTGGGACCCATCCGTCTTCCGAACCAGCGTGAATTATTGTTATGCGTTTTCCTTTATTTGAAGGTGCTTTTGTCTGGCAGTTTCTACTAGAATCGATCCATCCTTTTTGTAATGTATCGTGTGAATCGAAACATGTTTCATCCAGGTAAATGATAGATCTGTTTTCTAATCTATATTTCCTAATGTCAGAGAGATAACTATATCTCCAAGTATGCAATCTTTGTGATTCCATTAAAACTTGTTTTTTGTCTATCTTACGATATTTAAAACCCATTGTAGAAATGACTCTATGGAGGGTGGCACGGCTAATGTGTATATTTGTTTCATCTTCTTCTAACTTCAATTTAAGTTTATTCAAAGTAGGAACAATCTGGTTTTCATAGAGGGAATATACTTTTCTTCTTATCATATCTTGTTGAGCACTGTCCAAACGATGAGACCGGAAATCACTACGTTTTTTTCTGCCTAGAAGCGTTTTACTGTTTACAATATCCTTTATCGACGATATTGGCGTTTTTGTAAGTACACAAGTTTCTTTTACAGCAGCTTGTTTGATTAAGCCTCTACTTATTAAAGTATCATACACATGTTTAACTATTTGTTTTATGTCTAATGACAAGTGCTTTCGACTATGACTAATAGCCGTCAAGCGATTATTTTCCCAAGGACGAAACATAATTACACTCGTATTATAAACCGCACAGTAACAAGGACTATTAACGACTGATAAAACACGTTTTTAAATATGTTCTGGTAAATACCTGCCCACCGAGGGCTGGGTCAGGTATGCGTTGGCCAGTGCCATGAGAATTATAATCATTACTTAGTATCAGTCGTTAACCCATTAGTTCCCAAGAATAGAAGAAAAACAATGGGTTTCTTTTATTGCATTTTATTGCTAAAATTATATCTAAATACTTATTTATCAAGTTAAAAACAATAAAAGTTCTTAGTTTTTAACAAAATGTTGCGTATCGCAACAATGGGATTTGTCAAAACAAAAAAAAATTATTTACTGTGAAATTATTCGTGAAAGTAATATGGATGTAGATGTATTTTACACTTCGCACACACACACACACATAATATATATATATATATATATATATATATATATATATATATATATATATATATATATATATATATATATATATTGTAGTTTTGCACTGTCTGCATCTTTTTCTTGCTTTGTTCTCCTTCCTTCATCCTTCCTTCAATGAATTGGATCTTGTAGGATTGTTGATTGGATCATTTGAAGCCGATATACCCTCTCCTTGGAAGTTATCATCGATGAGCGGTACTTCAATTTTCAAAAGGGTAACTGCTATGTAAGACTTAAAATCTAATTGTGACATTTTAGTTTTATTTGCCACGTTATATATTTTCTACGCACTAACAATAACATTATAAATCACATTCATAAAAATGGGCCACCACTATTTCGTTCCTTTTACCTTTTTTTCTGTAATTTGATATGCCGTTATCATGCAAATCAACACCACCTATTATGTTGATTTTACTCAGCTATCAATTTTGGCTAAGGAATTAGTTGGATTTTGTTTTCTTTCCTGTCATATCTTTTTGCACCTGGTTCAATGGGTTCAATGGTACAATTATTTGTTACAACTGTCACTAGAGAATTGTCATTCCATCTAACTAACAATACACTTTGTTCAGAATTGTAAGAAAAATCGTAAGTACCACGATCTTGTTTTTTAATATTTTTTACACTTTCCATTGTACTATTACAAGTGCTGTTTTCGCGGATCGTCTCAGTAGCGTAAAATCTTCTTTCTTTTAGCGAACCGAATAGCTTGTAAGATGAGAAAAAGTTATCAAAAAATATGCGATGATTAGATTTTCGTTCAATCACTTGTTTTCCACCATAAGGTACAATTTTAAATAAATAGCCATTTGAACTACATAGACACCATATTTTGAACCCAAACCTATCTGGTTTTCCTGTTATGTACATCTTACAACAATGTCTTTCAAAATATTGCACATCACATCTATGGATAGATTATGAGAAAATACTTTAAACTGCATGTTCTTTTCATGTATACAATCAAATTAGAATTATTGTACAAACAAAAATGCAAAATCTAAATTTTATTATCTAAATCCGTTAGTCTGTCGAGTTAGCGGCGCCTATTACAGGAAATCCCAACGTCCCGTAAACGCAACATTATTGAAATCGATTAGGTATGCAAAAACCAAAAAAGATTTTAGAAATATGACTATCTTTTCTACTGATAGATATATCAATATAAATTGATAATTTAAGAAATATAATTTTATGTTTAGTACGCAAATTATATCGACAAAAATATGAAAAAATTTTTTTCGATTTTTTCAATATTGACTAAATTAAAAAATATATACCTTTTCAATTATTTCTAAATATTTTATTAGATTCGTATTTTATGTACTGTTATGTCTTGTTTTATGTATTGTTAAAATGTATCAACAAAAATTATATTTAAGCAGTGATACATTTTAAAAAAATACAATTAAAAATGTTTCGTTTACGCTATGTTGGGAACTAATGGGTTATATCGGTTGAAAGCTGAAAAAATTCTGTACAGCATATTGTAAAAGTTGAACAGTAGTTCAACAGTAGTTGAACAGTATACGCAAAGTTTTAATATACAGCCCATTGTGATTAATCTAATTGATGACTCCGACAGTGAAACAGAATTGATCTTAGAATAACAACACAGAATAATAATCAATATTAATTTAGTTTAAATCTCGTATTATGTTTCGAATATAAATAATATAAGTATTAGAATAAGAACATAGATATTTAATAATCATTAATTTTTAACTTTTACAGTGTAGTTTAAATATCTTATTGTTATCACTCAGTATTGAATATTAGTTTTAAAATACTATTAAATAAATGTAATTTTCTTTACAATAAAATAGATGCCTCGAAAAGAAATTGCTATATTATCAGTTTTACTTGGAGTCCGCCTCTGATGCCCTGTCATAAAATACTAGATGGAGATAAGACAATAAATCAGGTAAAATACAAAACTTACATTGAGGCAGACTTTAGAAAGGAAAGTTAGTTCCAGCGATCTCTCATTTTGGGAATTCTAGTTACTAATTATATCTAAACAATTAACTTCCAGGCAGAAGGATTATAAACAGAGGTATTAAAGATTAAAGAACACTGTTGTTCGACAGTATTAAAAAAATTTAATAATTTTGTTAGTTTTGACACAGAATAATAAGCAATCAGAAGGGCCACTCTCAGATGCCGCCTTTGAAGTTTTTCAGCACGCGCGCCATGTTTTAGGAGGACACAGACATATGATTTGTGTGGTTATGTAATTGTTTATATTTATGTTTAATTATATTATATTTATGTTATTATATTTAACAATGTTAATATAATTGTATAGTATGTCTATGATTGCCGTAAGTCAAATAAACCTGGTTAATTTTTCCATACACACCACATAAACAACACTAATTTCTTTAAAATCCTCCTAAAACATGGCGGTACGTCTGCGCGGAGGAGATGCGCGTACTTAATTTTCCGTGGAGAGTGGGTATTCTGTTTGTTTATTATTCTGTGGTTTTGATTTGACATTTTTTTTTAAATCTAAAGGAAAAAGATGTTTCGGCAATTATAACGTCGTATGTTGGAGCTTTATTATTTTTTAGCTCTTTTATTTTAAATAAAAATAGCTGGAAAGCGACGTTATTGTTTAAAAATTTGAAGAAAATATGACAAAATATTTTCAAACAACATACTTGTAATAATACTCTGCGAAATAGTTCGTAATCTGTTTTATCATCCATTAAGTTTTTGTTAACTTAAATTTTAAATTTTTAGATTTTTAATTTAAAACCTCCATTTGAACCTTTATCTAGAACCAAGATCTTCTGTCTCCTTTTATTCTTTCTTTTTTCTTTAGTTCTCTTTAGTTTTTTCGTAAATAACGTACGTTGATAATTATTAAACACCGGGTGCTTCTTCATGTATAAGTATGTTTGATTACTAAATATAATGATTTTTTTTATATAATAAGTGAAATAAATTATAACTTTACTGTAATTGATTTATATATTTTTATTTTAGGCATTCCCAAAAATTCTCTTTTCATCGATTGCTCAACGATAGAACCCAAAATGGCTCAAGAATTATCCAAAATATCTAAAGAAAACGGCGTTAGATATATTGATGCACCGGTATCGGGAGGTGTAACTGGAGCTGAAAAAGGAACGCTAACATTCATGGTTGGAGGAGATAAAAACGACTTAAAAGAAGCTGAACCCGTTCTTAGTAAAATGGGAGCTAAAATATTTCCCTGTGGAGATATTGGAGCAGGACAGATAGCCAAGCTTTGCAACAATCTTATTTTAGGTTAATATTTAGTAACTTTATTATTAATTTAACGTATATGTTTGATATTTATCGAATGAATCATTTACAGGATTCAAAATTCGTAAAACACGAAATTTGCTATACAAAGAAAGTGATTATTGAAATACACTTAAAGAAGAAACATTCTAAACTAACAAATAGATAGGTACAGGTACTATTCCACACTCCATTGTCATTCACCGCTCATACATTTGCCGTAGTACTTTTTTGTTGAAACATCCCAACATGTTTTCATTACTTTTTGTTAGAGTCCAAGTCTCTGAATATGTTAGAACTGGTCGTATTATTGTTTTGTAGAGTTTACCTTTAAACTCAAAATAGCATCTGTTGGTCATGCAAATTCTACAGTTTATCTCTGCGATATTAATATTTTCAGTGTTGACGAGTTCTCCCAGGTATACAAATACAAATTCGTCCATTGCTTCGATGGCGTCGTTTCCTGTAACAAGTTATCATGGGATTTGTGGTTGCGTGCTTATTTTCATGTACATATTTCATTTTGTTTGTGTTTATTATTAAACCCATTTTTGTAGCCTATTCTTTTAGTGCTATATAGGCTTCTCGTACAGCGTTTTCCGTTCTCTCAACAATATTGATATCATCAGCATAGGCAAGGATTTGCACTGAATTGAAAGAGTTAGGCGTACCAAATCAGTTGGTAAGTCTAACGATTTGTACTTTATAAATATGTGATGAGTATATAAGCCGTATTCCAGTGTTTTTTCTAAAATTTGTCTCAGGGCTGCAATCTGATGAATTGTCGATTGTCGATTCTGAAATCAACCTTGTATTTTCCTACTATTCGTTCTGCAAGGGTAACATATTATTATGGAAAATATTTTACACGCTGCATTTAGAAGCGTAATTCCTCTCTGGTTAGAGCATTCAAAGATATCTCCTTTTTTATGTATGGTGCAAAGTATTATAATCACTGGGGATGGAGAGATTTTTGTGTCTATATTTCTTTTATGAGCTGCTCTAAAATCTTTTGTGTAATAATACATACTAATATATACAATATGAATCATGGTGCAAAAGAATTCTAAATCTAATACAAGATATTATTAGTCTAAACATCTCCAGGCCTATTTTTTTATCCCAAATTTTCTCACAGTTTAATGGGTTAGATTTGAGAACTACTGCTAGATATAATAACCCAATTAAGGCCTTGATTTCTAATAAATCTGTGTTTTTGGCATCTCTTTCACGTTGATAGTGTTCCCGGTTTATTTGAATGTGTTTATTTGTGTACTCGGCAATTTTATTTAACATGCTGCCAGAAAAAAAATAGTTCAAAATTTGTAACTCCGTTTTCAAATTCTTTAGTGGCATATTTACACCAGATACATGGTTTATTACGTTCTCTGACCTATTTCTACCGTACCTGGGTATATGACGTTTGACAAATAATATGTTGTCTTTGCCAATAAATGTAGGAGTAGGAATTTAAATGTCGACAACTTCATTCAAATCTTCTTCTTCTTCATCACCGAAATCAATTGGTTCCTGAATATCATCTTCAGCCAAGACTTCCAACATAAGCTTTACTAAATATTCTTGTTCCTTGTTCCAAGAACACATCTACAAGTAAATAGTATTTGTTTACAAGCTATTTCTAAATAAAAATGCTACAATCACCTTTTAAAATGTTATACAACCGGAATATAAATCTTCGCCCCCACAATCTTGGTACACAAATGCTCGAAAGCGGGCCGTCAGTCCGCATAAACAAACACTGACCTAACAACCGAACGTTTCGAGGGCAAATCTTACACTATTACAAATCAACATAATTTACTCGTTCGACTTTGTATCAGGGAGTGATTGTCAAATTTTTAAAAGTTTCTTTCAATCTAATGTTTATCCGGCTGACTGTCATTGTTAGTTTTGTCAATTTAACTAAATTTGGTGGGATCGCAAAGTCTATAATTTCATTATATAGTGCAGTTTTTTTTAACACTGCAAGAGATGGTATAGTTGACTTTCCGGCAGTGAATCCGCATTAGTAATGCCGAATAATCTTCTTCTTCCCGTGCCATATCAGAACTATCCGACGTTGGCAATCACCATTGCGAAGGCTTCTCTATCTTCTGAAATATGGAATAATTGTCCTGTATTTGGTATCTGAGTCCATTCACGAATGTTTTTTAACCAAGAAACTTGTTTTCTTCCCACACCTCTACGGCCCTCTATTTTGCCTTTAAGGATCAGTTGTAAAATTTTATATCGACTTCCCCTTACTATATGTCCCAGATAAGACATTTTTCGATATTTAACAGTCTTTAGCAGTTCTCTGTCTTTGTTGACGCTCCTTAGTACTCCTTCATTAGTTTTTCTTGCTGTCCAAGGTATCTTCAGCATTCGTCTATGAACCCACATTTCCAATGCTTCCATTTTGTTCATGATCGATACTTTTAGCGTCCACACTTCTGCACTATACAAAAGTACAGACCAAACATAACACTTAACCATTCTTTGCCTTAGTTCTAAACTGAGATGGTTATTGCAATCGGTTATTGCCCAATAATATCCTTTGTAAATAAGTTTAGTCTATCAAAAAGTACATTGCTGAATAGTTTTTATGCAGATTCCAATAGAGTAATGCCTCGTTCTTGCAATCAAGTTGGTCACGCTTTTTAGGCAGCAGGCATATTATTTCTTTTAGCCACTCCTCTGGTATCAATTCATTCTGCCATGTAAGTACTATCAGTTTATGGATTACTGCCAAAAGTTGATCACCACCTACCTTATACGTTTAGTTAATTTTCTATATTGTCACCTTCTTCAACATAATCTAAATTGAGTTAATCTGAAATGTGGTATCCATCTATTTAGAACGGAATTTGTATCATGAAGAATTTTACCGTTAATTTCTCTACAACTTTTTATTATTTTCTTAAATTATTGACGGCCACTATTTAGGGTTTTCTATTATTCTCTTGTTTTATTTTTATTAAATAAACTTTGAATCTCATTTAATGTTTTCTGTTCATATTCCCCCTTCTTGAGATGATGGATTCCTATGATTTTCCTCTCTTTTAAGGCGTCTATACTCGTCTTTTTTCCAAGTATGTTGTCTTCTTCTTCCTTCTTGTATGTAGGCTTTAAAGTTTGTTTGTTCTTCAATGTTAGCCTACTAAATTGTTTAAATTATCGCACCATCCTTTTCTTGGTCTGTCAATACTTCTTCGTCCATTTGGTGACTTATCTCGTGCTATTCGTACTATGCTATCCTCTGTCATTCTACTAATGTGTTCGTTCCACTCATATTTCCGTTTTGTCACCCATCCATTTATGTCTTCTATATTGCATGCTCTTCTTATGTTTTCGCTTCTCTCCCTATCCAACAGACTTTTCCCTGATATTATAGATTCTTGTTTTTGTGTCTTGTTCCTCCAGATTGTGTCATTAAGAGATCCTGTCGCTGTACTTGCTTTTAAGCTTTGTTGTACTTCTTTTCAACGTCTCCGTAACTAGTTATATCTAGTCCCAGATATCTAAACCTTGCTTCCTGCTTTATTATTTTCCCATCAATTTCGATTTTACATCGTAGTGGGTATTTAGATGTTGTCATACATTTGGTTTTTTCTGCTGATATTATATTGTATTGCTTGGCTGTTGTATTGATATGTGTTAATCTTTGGAGCTCGTCTTCCGTCTCGGCAATTAATGCGGCGTCGTCTGCATAACATAATATTTGGATTTCTTTGTTCCTCATTCTGTAACCATGACCTTAACGTACTGTTTGTATTATTTCTTCTATTATTATATTAAAGAGTAGTGGGCTTAACGAATCACACTGTTTGACTCCGCTTTGTACTGGTACACACTGTGTTAGTTTTCCATTTATCTTTGCCTGTATTTGATTATGTAATGTTTTCAATGGTTTGTATAATATTGATTGTTATGTTTCTTTTATACAATAGGTGTAAGACGTCTTCGACTTGGATGCGATCGAAAGCCTTTTTCAGGTCTATAAAACATAGATATGCTGGTTTATTGTAGTCGATGGCCTGTTCTGTGATTTGTCTTAGTACAAATACGGCGTCTACGCAGGATTTTCTGATCAGATGAACAACAAGGATCTGAATCCTTGTTGTTCATCTGATAAAGTTGTTAGTTTATTGATTTTGTTGGTTAGGACTTTTGTGCTAAGGACTATATTTGTTGGGGTCTTCTTTATCTCCTTTCTTGAACATTGGTATCATTATGCTATTTCTCCATGCGTCTGGTATCTTGCAGTGCAATATTACTTTTTGTATAAGGTTTGTCCTCTCTAGGGTTATACTTTCTCCTCCGTGTTTTAGAAAGTCCTTGGTTATTCCGTCTGGTCCTGGTGACTTTCTATTTTTGAGTGAATTTATGGCTATCTCTACTTCCTGAAAACTGATTTCTATTCCGTGTCTTAATTCAGGTACGATATTGTGTTGATTATTATTTTCCTTTCAACTTTCCTTTAAACTGTTCTGTCAGGTATCTTTCCCATTCGTTTTCTGGTATGTTACTGTATTCCTTTCATTCTGCCATTTCTTTCCGTTGGTTTCTTATGAATCTCCATATTTGTTTTCGTGTACCGTACAAGTCCCTTTCCATCCTTTTTGTAAACTGTTACGAGTGTTCGTTTTTTGTTCTTCTTACCAACTGTTTTGTTTCATTTCGTATTATTTTATAGATGTCTCGGGATTCTGGAGTATTTGATGTTTTGTACTTTGTATAGGCCTTTCGTTTCTCTTTACATTTCTCTTCCACAGTAATTCCACATTGAAATTTTCCTCGGTAAGTATAAGTACATACTGCCTCTAAGTATGTAACCTGCTAAAAGATTTTTTTGATATGCTACTTTTTGGTTATTTGTTGCCATTTCACACTCATCAAACCAGTGACTTTTTTTCTGTCCTGCTTTTACCCAATATTTCAACCCATTTCTACAATACTACTCCTGATAGAACATCAAGTTATTGAAGTGATACCATACACGTAGTACTGTGAAATTGGATATCGACATACCGAGTGTGAGTGTGAGGTTCATCCATACGAAAACACAATATTCCGCTACAGAATACACGAAGCTCAACACTGAATATCGCAAAGTAGCAGCTGGAGATTCCAAAGTTATCCCACAAAAACTTCTCGAGATGTTTTTTAAAGGGGAGACTACAGTCTAGCGTAATATTTTTAGATGTTTAGGATACTCATTATTTGGAAGTGTTTTGTCTTGGGAAGTGATGTCTAATTGTCTGTGTGCCATATTATTATTTATATGAAAACAGTATACCTTAGTTTTCTAGCCCTAGGACACAGTCTTCACTTTTTCTCCCATCGACAAGTGTGATACCGTCAACATAGCAAAAGGATGTGAAAGAACCGAGATATACATGTTGATAAGAAGTGGTGTAAGGACTACAAGAAGGTCCCATTATTTAGTTTTTTTTTCTTATTTTGTCACTTATAACACCTTGGAATCTCCTGTCATCCAGCATGTGGTTAATTATTTGCAATTAATGAGCAGTTGATTTGTAATGATATTTATCCTTGCTAATTTTTACGAAGAAAATGAAAATTACGACTTATAAACTCCATAAACAATGTCTTCATCTTCTTCGCGTGTCATATCAGAGTTACTCGACCTTGACGATCACCATTGCGAAGGCTTTTCGGTCTTCGGCCACATGGAATAATTGTTTTGCATTTGATATCTCAGTCCATTCACGAATGTTTTAAACATAAATCCTTAAACAATGTACTATCACAAAACACGCGAACGACTACACTGATTGATAAGACCTTAATTAAATCACGTGCGGTTTTAAGTACTACGATGCGTTATTAGTTTTGTAGTTTAAATTTATATCATCATAATCTATAAAACTAACTATCGGTACTAAGATTTTAACAAGTTTTCTCTCATACTCTTAAGTAATTATTTCATACATTCCAGACATTACAGCAGATAATATAATATTAATTACTTGTATTTTAGGAATAACTATGATTGGAACCTGTGAAGCAATGAATTTGGGTGTTAAATTAGGTTTGGACCCAAAACTTTTAACAAACATAGTCAATGTATCCACGGGTAGATCATGGTCTTCAGACACATACAATCCAGTTCCTGGAGTTATGCCTGATGTACCACCTTCAAACGGGTAAGATGTTTTAAATTGTTAACATAAGTTCAATTTATGTTTTTAAATAGTTCTATTTAATGTTAACTAATGCCTTTTTGTCTCAAATATTTTTTTCATTTATTCCTTCTCCTTTATCCTGATATGGTTTTGAAACTATTTTCTTGTATCATTTCTATATTAACTACCATATTTAATGAGAATAAACCATAATTTTATTTTAAAATATTTGAAATTTCCTTTTCCACCTCGGAAATCGTATGTTGAGAACCATTTCCAAGTGGAAAGAAAACTAGACCACCTACTATTTTTAGTAGAAAAGAGCAAGACAGATTATTAGGAATAAAATAATTATTCAAAGATAATAACAATAGATAATAATAATAAAATCGTTTTATAAGATTCGCCAAGAAAAAACATAGTATGGTCACTAAAATTTACTTTACTGAAAATTTTATCTATTTTGCTTATCACAGAAAAGTTAAATTATATGAATTAATATCTCAGGGATATTCGTGTTTCATATTTTACTTGTGTATTGCATTTAGATTCATAGAAGTATATTGTAAATAAAACCCAAATTTCAAAAACAATACACGCAATTTACTCACATATAAAGAAAAATGATATATGGAATATGCTGAAACCAGAAATTACACAAATTAAACTAATGCTTTTTAAATGCAAAAAGAGAATGTCTTCCTATTATTTGCCTAATCGGATCTATAAAAACCTACTTAACGAAAGTATTATTTCCTGTTCTTTAAATAATAATAAAAATAATTAATGTGCAAAAAGTCCACAATAAATTATTATTAATTGTTTCGTTGTTTAAAAAAATATATAATTTTACACGAAAACTAACTTTGTAACCAAATCGGAAACTCCAGTACTTTTACTTAAAAAGTTCTTTTCTACACAAACTAAAAACCAACTTCCCGATGAAAAGCAGTCAATTTCTGCCGTCTGATAAAAAACAGATAAACAAAAACGTGAAGAAAGAAATTAGGAACGATCATAGAAACTATACTAACAATCTAATAAAAGATATAATACAAGATAACTGCAATATGAAAGTACTGAAACCAAAAAACTCAAGCGGCATAACAAATAGCATAGAAATAAAAAATGAGAAAAACGTCACCGTCCAAGACAGAAAGGAAATAAGCGAGGTCATTGAAAAATTCTACACTAAATTTTAGTCGGTAAATACACAGCCACAACAACGACGCATTGTTCGTTCAGTACGTCGCGACGTACTGAACGAACAATAATTAACACCGGCTCAGAAGAAGTACCGGACATAACTGACTATGAAATAAGAATGGCCCTAAATCAACTAAAAACGAATAAATGTCAGGGAGAGGATAAAATGTTGAAAAATGGAACAGGTATTAAATATTTTATTTAATAAAGTAATTGATGAAGGAAATATTCCTCAATATTGGTACAACCCAGAAGTCATTCTACCATTCAAGAAAGGAGACAAAACAAACATCGAGAATTACCGACTAATATCCTTGCTATCACATCTGTATAAATTACTTCTTCTTCTTTATGTGCCGTCTTCTATCGAAGGTTGGCGACCATCAAACGATAGGTTTCTCTGTTTTTTGCTGCATGTATTTTGTTCGCAGCTTCTGGTATTTGAAACCATTTTCTCCAGTTTCTCAGCCAGGATTTCTTCTTTCTGTCCAAATCTTTACTTATCATTACGGAACACATGGCCAGATATGAAGCTTTCCTCCTTTTAATAGTTGTTAACAATTCCACCTCTTTACCCATTCGTCTTAATACCTCTGTGTTGCTCACTCTGTCTGTCCAAGGTATTCTCAGTATTAGTCGATACAGCCACATTTCTAGTACTTCTTTATAGTTGCTGCTGTTCACCCTTCTACTCCGTAAAGTAGCGTAGAGAGTACGTAACATTTCGTGGCGCGCCATCGGAGGTTAACGCTTAGGTTGCGGTTGCTTAAGAGCTTTCTCATTTTGATGAATTTGGATCTTGCTATTTCAATTCAGATCTTAATCTCTACGTCTGGGTCCCACTTATTATTTACTGTATATCCCAGATACCATACAAAACATTGCTGAGGCCGGTCCTCACATATGGAGCAGAAACATGGACTTTAACGCAGAAAGATGAAAGACTTTTGGGAATATTTGAGCGTAAAATACTCCGCAAAATATTTGGAGCTGTAAACGACCAAGGGCAGTGGCGCAAAAGATATAATTTTGAATTGTATCAGCTCTTTGATGAGCCAGATGTCATAACGTTCATTAAAACACAGCGACTTAGATGGGCTGGACACATAACATGAATGCCAGAAAATACGATTGCTAAAAAGCTAACCACAGGAACACCTGTAGGAAAAAGCAGCAAAGGCCGACTGCGAATTAGGTGGTTAGATGGAGTTGAAACCAACTTACGAATATTAAAAATCAGAAGATGGCAACATGTTGCCAAAAACCGAACAGAATGGCAACGAATCTTAGAGCAGGCCAAGATCCACAGAGGATTGTCGAGCCAAAGATGATGATGTATATCCCAGATATTTAAATTGGTGTACTCTTTCAATATGTTCGACTTCCATATTCAGGTCGATATGTTGAATGTTCTTTTTACTGATCATATAAACTACTAACCAAAATCATAACCAACCGCCTAACACATAAGCTCGATTTTTATCAATCTATCAAGTAGGCTGGATTCAGAAACATTTTAGTAACATAGACCACTTGCACGCCGTAAGAACACTAATAGAAAAATGTACCGAGTATAATGTTCCAATTCATATGGCGTTCATCGAGTTCGATAAAGCATTCGATTCAATCGAATTATGGGCAGTGCTTGAATCTCTAGAAAATGCATGTATAGATTCAAGATACACTAACATAATTAAAAACATATATGAAAATGTCACCATGCAGATAAAGCTGGACGAAAGCACAAAAACTAATTCCATAAGACTACAACGGGGAGTAAGACAACGAGACACCATCTCTCCCAAACTATTTAACCTTGCTCGAAGACATTTTTAAGAAACTAGAATGGAACAACAAGGGTATCAATGTCGACGGATCATACTTAAACCACTTGAGATTCGCAGATGACATATTTTTAATAGCCGATAATATCCAAGAACTAAATGATATGTTACAACAATTAAATGCAGTTTCACGAGCGGTAGGCTTAAAAATGAACTACAGTAAAACAAAAATACTGAGCCGAGATCAGACAAATAATATAACAATACAAAATCATACCATAGAAAATGTTGAACAGTATGTATATCTAGGTGATGTCATCAAACTAAGAAAACCAAATCAAGATGCTGAAATTAAAAGAATACAACTGGCAGAGGGCGCTCTCGGCAAACTAGCATAATATCTTGAAAAACACCTCCATTCCTGTAAAATTAAAGAAAAAGGTGTATAACACATGCATACTACCAGTTTGTACCTACGGCTTGGAGACAGTAGCCCTTACCAAAAAATCTGCTAAAAAATTAGAAACAATGCAAAGAGCAATTGAACGAATCATGCTTAGGATATCACTAAGATATATATATATATATATATATATATATATATATATATATATATATATATATATATATATATATATATATATATGGCGCAACAGTACCATTATAGTCACCTATTTCTTAGTTTTGTTGTTTGGTTTATAATAATAAGCGAGTTTGAAGTACCAATTTCTTCGAACGTTGAAGAAGCTGGAAAGTTATCATACCAGATTTGATGAAAAGTATCAAGTCACAAAGATTTATATTCGAGAAGTAAAAAACTCTCAAAAGTAAAATAAAGCAAGGCTTTTTAATTGTTATTTTAAAGTACTCAAGTTCCAATTTGCTTTTATTTTTATATTTTGCTGACAATGTTTTGTAGATAATTTTTTTTAAATTCGCTTTTCTTCTTTTATAGATACGAGGGAGGTTTCAGTGTGCCTTTAATAGCCAAGGATTTAGGTTTAGCGGAAGCAGCAGCATTAAGTTGTGGTACTCCACTTTTATTGGGGGCTTTAGCTCATCAAATATACAGAGCACTGATTCTCAATGGTTACGCCGACAAAGATTTTGCAGTAGTCTACGAATTTTTGAAGGGACAAAGTAAATAATGAAGACCTATATTTATTTGTTATAAATATGTTTTAATAAATTTATGTTTATTTTTAAATATTCGTATTGGTAATTTCGTTTAAAGTCGGTTTTACTCTTGGGGGACGTGTTGCAGACAGAGACAGTAGACTATAGGTACTATAGAGGAAATAATTCTATTCAGGACAAAATATTTTAGTCACACCGAACCAGTTCGAGCCATAAGATTAAAGAAATATTCAAAAATCGTTTTTTGACGGACAGTAAACAAAAAATTAAAGTAATACGCTTCAATTTAAAGTAATATTAAGTACACTCTATGTTACTCCTAGTTTTTTATGAATATTCTTTAAATTTAATCAAACAACAATATCAATCAATCAAAATTCTGTGTTGAATTATAAAAGTCCAATTTTCGTTTACTGTCTGGTTGTAGTTTTCGAAAGAGGTTTTTATTTGTTTAATGTCATGTAGGTTTTGTTCACGTAGAATATAGTAGTTAGATTATTCTAAGATTGCGCCATGTCAAAAAATGATTCAACAAGATTTTCACCAGCACTTCCTAATTTTGAAAGAGAATTAGCTCCAACACACGTAACCAAATGCCAAAATATACATGATTATGCAGAAAAATTGAGTAAATTGAAAGAATTACCCGTGTTTTACGTGTTATTTTTGGGACTTTGGTGTTTTAGTGTAATGGACAACAGATATAGCTAGTCATAATAAAATAAATAAAAACTTATCCTGTATAATAACATATACCTACTCTCCCTGTCTGATATTATGTTATACATTTCTACTCTTAGATAAAAATGTGTAAGAGTATGCCATATTCTGGACTGAAATGATATATTTTTTGGTATGAAATGAGTTTTTATTTGTTACTCCACGGCAATATTTATTTTCCGTTACTTTTAAATGAATTTTTAGACGGTAAATTCAGAACATACGTTTTGAATTTAAAGCCGAATGTTTATTAGATTATAAGGTCCTGAAACTTAAATACTATGTTTATATGGGAATAAGCCATAATCACCAAATTGTAATGACAATTAAATTTTACCTGAAAAATTTGACGTTTTGATTTCCACTGCTCAAATCGTTCTCAAAAAAGATTATTAAATAATTTAGTTGAAAAACGGTGTGTATAGCAGTTGTATAGCGTATAACCATACAAGATAGACTGACTGCTGCAGTCGCGTTCCCCCAGTGCGATAGAGAAACCTGACACAAAGCAGTCTCTGCATATCTGTCTAATGGGCCGGACTCGATGTGGGCCGGGTTTATCGACCACGTAACCTTTTCATTGGTCATTTATGGCACGTGGTCACCTAGAAATTAAAAAAAGATGCAGGGACTGCTTGAAGCTGATTTATCTAGTATTGGGGTATAACAATAGGATATGGAAGCACAAGATCGTAGAAGATAAAGAGTTGTAAAGGCAGTCAAGAAGAAGAAGTAGGGACTGCTTTGCATCAGTTTTCTCTGTAGCACTGGGGGAACGGGCTACTATTGCAACAATCAGTCTATCTTGTATTATATGTCTATGATTGATATTGCAACAATCAGTCTATCTTGTATAGTATGTCTTGCTGTTATATAGTCAAATACTTTCATAATAATGTTTTTAGTAATAACAAAATACAGAGTACTTACCCTTTAAATGTGTAACAACACAAAAGAAGTATGTATATAAATATCAATAATAACTTTAGGACACTCAAAGCACAGAATACACCACCAACAAGAAGCGACAAAAGGACGATTTTCATGAACCAAATTTTTATGCGCATGCGTGAGGTCGGCCATTTTATAATATGTTTTAATGTCAAGAAGCTTTGGTGACGCTTGCATTTGTGCAGAATCGGCGTTAGTGTTTTTATTACCTTTGAACTTGGTTATTTTATAAAATTTTTCGGTTTTATTTGTGTTAAGTCAGGTTAAGTGTTAATTGACTGTTCAATCAAATGGCTACGGGCAAAGGAGGCTATTCGTGCATTTATCGCGGCTGTCGCACAAAAAGCGGAGGTGGTTTAAGCCTATTTTCAATCCCAAAAAATGAGGAAAGGTATGTAGCAAATTTATACATTTTTTGTCGATAGAAAAGTTTGTTTTGTATACATAATGGTAGTCCTACATATAGTGACAAATAGTCAAGCTGATAATCTAGCAGCACTATTGAATGCAGAAAGTGGAATCGGTATAAGTTCAGAAATCAAGAAAGTTATAAAAATAATTTAATCAATAAACAAAAATACTTTCAAGTTTCATATAAAAATAAATGTTGGTATATTTAATAAAAAAATATTAATATCTGGGTATTTTACATCAATATTCATATTTCTAATTTATTTTAAATATTTCAACTACCAAACACTCTCTGCATTCACTACTTTACTGCATTGATTAGTTTCCTTTAATCACTGTCTTATAGTTTGGACCAAAATGCATGTCTCTATACTACTACCTCTATATACTACCAACTCTAATCTCTATATACTACCAACTAAGTTGTAAATGTTCAGCATTTTAAACTCCAAATTTGATCTTACTGTATCCATAATTTATTACCTTATATTTCTATTTCAGGGCTGAGCACTGGTTAAGAGCTGCCAATAGGATAGACTTATTTGAAAAGGGTTTTGCAACCTTGCACAAACATTTTAAGTTGTGTGAGTTGCATTTTGAAAAAAAATGTATATCATATGGTATGGACAGAAAGTCATTATTTTTAAATGCTGTTCCTACCATATTTCATCATCTAAAGAGACGTCTAGATGGCCACATTTCATCAGATGAACATTCTCACCAAGGGTTAATTGATGAATGTAAGTATTAAACATTTAAACACAATATATAGCAATATGCAAACCAATGAAAAATAAGTATATTTAAATGAGACAAAAAATTAGTTGGTTGTCATCCTAGACATATTTTCTAGTGCCTAGCTTTAATATGATTCACTTTTTTATTTAACAGTTTACTGAGAAACTTTATTTCTATTGAAATATTGATTGCACTATAACAAATTTCTAAATTTTAGCTGCATCTTCAGAAGTTATAGAAAAGTTTGGAATAAAAGATGCTGAGCCAGCAATGAATGTTGAACATGAGATGGAAAGTTCAAGCCAACATGTTCAAATACAGCTACAAAGCATATCGGGTAAAAAATTTAAACATTGTAAATATATAATTAAATTTATTTTCTAGTCAGATGTAACTCTCTATAAAAACCGTTATCTGAAATTTAAAATTTTGCCATTATGACTTAAAGGTTAGAAGGGTTACTTGTTATTTTGTGAAATATCATTTGTTCAAATAAAGTCTTAGAACAATATTACACCTTTTAATAGATTGGATTGTTCTACTGAAACAATCACAGGCTGTCACATAACTGGCAACAACAGCCATAGTAAATTAAAACATCGACTAAGATTGTTGTTGTACTACACATCTAAGTTAATCATTGGCATAAATGATTAAACAAATGCTTTGTCCAAATTGGTAGAAAGAAAAAAAATTGTCAAAAATTTTACATTTGATATGAAGACAGACATATGACTTTGCAACTTTGAAAATACTTCAATATATTTTTTTTTAGGAGATAAGCCACTCCCAAATGATATTTCTACAACGTACATTCAACAACCTTGTGTCCTGTTACCATCCTCGGCATCAACACAGACATCCAGTATATTGAGTTCTCATACTCCAAGAAAAATAAAGCTTTATAAGAAGATCAGGTCTTTACGTTTAAAGCTAAATAAGGGCACTACAACACAATCACGAAAAGAAAAATATTCAGTTAGCGAATTTAATAAAATGTGCGATAAATTTTTAAATAAGCCCTTATCCCAGGTACTGAAGGCCCAAGTAATATTAGGAAGTAAAACACCGAAAACACGACGGTATTCCAAGGAATATAAGCAATTTGCTTTAACTTTATACTTTTTAGGTCCTAGGGCATATTCATTTATGGGTAAACTTTTATATTTACCATCAAAAAGAAGTTTACAAAGAATGACAGAGAATTTAGCATGCAAACCAGGTTTAAATAACGAACAAATTTTTGATGCATTAAAAATCAAAGTTTCAACTATGATTGAACAGGATAAACATTGTACTATATGTATTGACGAAATGTCACTAAAAAGTAATTTATATTTTGATTTAGGACGGGACGAAATTGTTGGATTGTGTGATATTGGCAGTGAAAAGAAGAGTGGTCTTGTTGCAGAAAATGTTCTGGTTATTATGGCTCGAGGCTTGTATTCCAATTGGAAACAACCATTAGCCTATTTCTTTGTTAATACTAGCTTTGAGGCAGAAAAGTTGTGTCCTGTTATCAAGAAATGCATCTTAAAATTATTTAAATGTGGTTTGTATGTTGATTGTCTAGTCACAGATATGGGATCAAATTTTATGAAACTGGGTAAATTATTGGGGGTCAGACCTGGTAATGCTGAATTTACTGTAGATGATAAATTATTATTTTATATTTATGACCCATGTCATTTAATTAAGGCTACCAGGAACAGTTTAATAAATAACATTTTGTGTTTTGATGGTTATAAGAAAACATCCTGGACATATGTGGAAGCATTCTATCGGGAGGATAAGGGAAATCAGTATAGGTGTGCCCCAAAGCTTACCAGCTCACACATATACCCCACAAATTTTGAGAAGATGCGAGTAAAACTTGCAACTCAAGTTTTAAGCCACACAGTTGCGAGTTCTATGAGCACATTTATGGCACTAGGACATTTACCTGCAGATGCTCTTGGAACAATAGAATTCATTCAAAAATTTGACATTCTTTTTGATATATTAAACTCATTCGACACTGGTAATTCCAATAAATATAAAAATTGTTATGAAGGTTCAGCAATTCAATTAAATTATTTAAATTCAATGTCGAAGTTCATTCAAGAATTGAAAATATTTGACAAGAGTGGGAAAAATGTTACTTCTAGATCGAGGTCATTGAAATGTTGGGTTATTACCATAGATGGGGTCAAAAAGTTGTGGGACAGGCTACTTCATTTTGACTTCAAATATTTAAAAACTAGGAGGCTAAACCAAGATTGCTTAGAAAATTACTTTGGTAGCATTAGGCAACAAGGGGGCAATTCAATTAATCCTACTCCTATCCAGTTCCAAAGAGCATTTAAAAAATTGTTCTGTCAAAATTTTTTACATTCCAATGCCATGAATTGCAAAGATGATTTGGACAAACAATTGATGGACTTAAAACCCAGTAACATCATTTGTACAGGTCAACAGGAAGAAAATAATCCAGTAAGGGCTATTGCACTTCCTGACTCAGATTATAAATATCAAAATATTACTAACCAAAATGCTTTCCAGTATGTCTGTGGATATTTACTTAAAAAATGTATCAATGTACATAATTGTGAAGTTTGTATAGAATACTGTAGAAAAGTGGTGGAATTAGATCTTACTCACCTACTCACTCATTTTAAAGCATTCAACACTGATCAATATGTATATGGAGGATTAAGTACACCAAGTGAAAATTTTGTTCAGTATATATATAAATTAGAACAAATATTTTCCACATCATACGAAACTATTTTGACCGAAAAACAAGTGTCATATTCGTATTTTAATGTCATGAAAGACGTAACTTTTATTCATCCTTGTAAATTATTTCCGATAACCTATCTTGTAAAGTTATTTATTAGATTAAGGCTTTATTATTCTCTAAAATATTTTAATAGGGATCTAAAAAGTAAGAATTGGAAGAAGAATGTTAAGAAGGGAAATAGAAAATTGAGCATTCTAACACATTTATAATTGTTAGCACAAAATATTCAATTTTCTCTACATTTTGTCTTTTGAATTGTACTTCGAAGATCTCGATTAGTATATTTCATGCTACAAAATATTTTAAGCCAAATAAGTAATTTTACAACATATGTTTTAGTAAAATCAGGGCATGGATGGGTAAATTCTACTTTTTTTCATTATATTAAAAAGTTTATGTGAGACTCCCTGTTGTATACAAATCTCTACAAACTTAGTTTTAAAAATGTGTTCTAAGTTAT